CAAAATTAATCAGTTTGCGAAACTACATCCGGAAGCAAAAAACAAACAAACAAACAAACAAACAAACCATCTGGAAGCATAGGTTGGCAAAAAAGGGGGGTGATTATCGATGAGCACCTGGGGAGAGGTGTATAGAGATGAGATGCCCGAGTGCATTCATCTCATCACGAAACTCTTGTCCTTTTCTGAACGACCGCGTTTTTTTTTTTTTTTTTTTTTTTTTTTTTTCAGTTACCACGGTTATCCGAGCGGTAAGGGGTCGACCAAAAAAAAGATAATTGATTTACTGAGCCATTCCCAATCCCCCAGTCCCTCAGTACAAAATGCTCACACTGAAACATGCATGGCTTAGTCACTGAAACAACTTCATGACTACTGGCTGGATTTGAACTCAGGTCTGTGTTTCAACAGTTCATCAGTGTACCAACTGTGCTGTACCAACTGTGCTATGCTATGGCCTCTTGCTACCAGCCTACCCCTCCTCACACTCCCCTCTTTTGAGCTCTAAAGCGTTTTTCTCTGCCTTCCCCCATCTGTCTGTGCAAGGAGATGTCCTTTCCTGTTTTTTTTTCCCCACTCACACACTCATCCCCCATCTATTCTGGAGCCCGGGAGCCCCGGGCTGCAGCGTGGTTGCTCATTACCGGCAAGTCAATGAGAAGCTGTCCTTTCCTTTTTTTTTCCTTTAAAAAGTCCACGGTGTAGTAAAGGTTGGAGGCCAGGCCTTAGGAGGTGCCCGTAGCACGCATCCATTGGGAGGTCAGATGGGTTGCTAGGGCCCCTGAGGGGAGTCGCCTCAAGGTGGCACCACGATGACATGACCTATATTAGTGCTCAGATGGCACGTCGTGATCTGCACCAATGCTTACTGGACTGACCCGAACGTCTCCGTGCAGACACTACCCTAACTCTAATGTCAAGGACGACCCGGGCAGAGGTGGGGTCCTCGCGATGTGGTCATCCCCCATCTGTGCCTCATCCCGCAGACTCTAGTAGGCAGTGAACCACCCACCTTTCCACCAAGGTGCGATATCCCTCCTTCCCTCCCTATTTCATGTAGCCTGATGATTAAACTTCCAACTGACCGACCAGCCATCAGCCACTGCCAAGTTGTGCAAACAACTGCCATCAACATGAACCACAAAGGTGCGACCAAAACCTCATCCCATGAGCTGGGGGCCACGGACACTCTTACACACTGAAATCTTCGATGTTGCGGATCACCACAAGCGCTACAGCGTTAGACTCGAGAGGGGGAAAAACAAAACGACTTGAAAAGATACTGTTAGGAGCAGACATCTCAAGCTACTAGAGGGGAGCTGCACCTGCTGGGAAACGGGCCCAGCGTCCCCTTTTACAAATTTCAGAAAACACAGAGTTGTGTCTGGCGGGAGGAGGGGGGGGGTCCACAATCCAGCAATCGGGCCGTCGAGGTGCAACCCCCTGAAACTATTCCACTGAACTCTTGCAGGCCCTTAAGTCGTTCATCTACCGTCAAGCGGCAAACCCCTAAACCCTTTCCCCTAAATCTTTTGAGGCCCTTAATTCTTCAGCCCTGAGTTAGAGCATAGCTCAGCAACACAGGCCGCAGGGCACATATCCGTCTCATTCCCAGCCTTCTCAGCAGCGCTGGCAAGGTATCAGCTTTATTCCCTACCTTCTCAGCAGCGCTGGCATGGTATCAGCTTCTAGGCTCGTACTCCAGGGTAAGCCTATGTCTCGAGTGGCGGTCCTTCTTTCAGTCTCCTTTAGCTGGGCTTCGGGAGCTGTCTTCTTGTCTTGTCACGGCTGGAGTTGCTGTGTTTTTCCATGAGTGGGTCATATTGCTGGGATTCCGTGCTGGACCGACATCTTGTCAGTTCCAGCGGGGCCGGGTGGTGGAGGGGGGGGGGGGGGGGGGGGGGGCAAGGGTAAGCGGAGGGTGGGGGGGGGGAGGGGTGCGAGGGCGGACCGGGCATCCAGGGGTGCGGAAGCAGGATGAAGTCAGTTTGGAGGTACGGGATGTGGAAGTCGTTCATGGGCCTTCTCATCCGGGTATGTTCTGAGGACCTCCAGGGCTTCCACAGGATGTTCAGTTCTGCATCCAATATGCTGACAGCCTGCAGGGGTCCTGCCATGTTTGGTTGTAGGAATCAATGATGGCAGTTTTGGCCTGCGGTTCCTTTCCCCCCCTATGGGCTTGTTTCATGGTTTTCCAGGCTTCGTGGGTGTAGGATCTGGGCGACCATCGGGCGCATGCCAGGAGGCAGTGCTCCAGGGTCGCACAGGCCCGGGGGGAAGCCCTGCCACAGTAGGCGCATATAGGGGAGAGCTGATCTTTCTGTTCCAAGTTGGTGCTGGACACGAGGCAATCCGGTGTGGGGAGGCATCGCTGAAGGATCTGCCACTGCAGCGAGCGGAGGTTGGTGGGCATTATTTTGGCATATTTGGGCCGGGGGAGGTTGGCTGGGTCTATAGGTGAGTCGCGGGCCCCATCTCACGGCTATGGTGTGGCTAGCAGGGAGTGTCAGTCTCGAATCCCTGTACCCCCCTCGAACGGTGTAATCCCATATATGCATGAGTTTCCCGCTTGTCCATTCCCACTCAGCCGGATCAAAAGGTAGGGCAATCGAGGTCGAGGCTTCATAGGCAAGGAGGCCCTCTTTCTGATCTCCCACTACTCTCTTCTCGTCTGAAAGTCAAAGAAAGAAAAGAAAAAAAAAAGAAAAAAAAAAAAAAAGAAAGAAACGAAAACAATAAATCAGATCTAGTATTAAACCAGCAGTACCTTTCCCCGCTACGAAAATAAATATGCGACTTGTATACCGACGAACTTTCCGGGGCTCGCCAAAATGGCTTGCGGCGCCAGGCAAAAGGAGGGCTGTGCCGCTTCTTTTCTTTTTTGGCAAGCAGTGCGTTTCCTTCCCCGGAGAAAAGTGCCTCGGAAACCACCAGAACTTCCAAAAGTTGTGCCTAAGTTGTGCCTGTTAACAAGCCACAATTTTAGGAAGCGTACGGGCCACTACAGGAGCGCCCAAATTCATCCGACTAGAAACGTTTCTACTCCATTCTTTCCCGCCGCCTATAGCTTGGGCCAACCAGGCCAAGTACTGGTGGATTAAGCATTGACATACCGCCTGGTACAACTAGAGAGTACCACCTGGTACGACTAGAGAGTCGTATCTGTATCTGGGCCACTGGACACGGCTTCCAGCAGGTGTAGGCTGTGTAGCTCCCCACCAATATCTGTTTCCGGATGATGGAGCAGCTGGACCCCAAGCTACCAGGGTAGAGGGCTCCTATCACCTCCCCGAGTAGCAGTAGCAGGAGACTGGCTTTTCAAAAAAAAAAAAAAAAAAAAAAAAAAGACATACCACATATGACCATCTACCCTTGCAGTGCCACCTCTCTGGGACTGTGCTGCAAGGAAAAGCAGAGTTCACAAACTATATCCAGAAATGGTAGTTAAAAAATAAAAAATGAAGAGGAGAAAAAAAATGTACCTATTGCACTGATGCAATCATATGATGCCCTCTGATTTCGTCTCCCCCACTATATCCAGAAATGGTCGCTTAAAAAAAAAAAAACAAGAAAAAAAAAAAACAAAAAAAAACAAGGTTGTTATTGCACTGATGCAATCATATGATGCCTTGATTTCGTCTCTCCATCATCCGAAAGCCACATCAACCGAAAGCCAGACCAAGGAAAAAAGAAAAGAAAACAATTACCTAATGTCCCGTCCCCAGACCTGCTCCTCTCTGAGTCTCTGGGACTTCAGAAAAAGTAGAGCATACAAACTATGTTACAGAAATGGAATGGCAACCATTGTGCTAATATGATCGTACAGTCTCCCCCCTCCCCYCCCCCCCCACCACTGCCAAAAGAAAATATAAGCGGGGGGGGGGGGGGGGTCAAAATCATCTAATCTTTCTGACACCCCCCCTTGAAGTCCATCCTAATCCAAAAGCCAAAGAAGAAAAACATCTAGTTATTCCTTATACTTCCCCAGGTTCATCTATTCTATATTGCAAAAAGGGCAATTATTATTATGCTGATATGGCCATACTACGGCCCAAACACGTGGCAACATTACGTAGTACGCCGTGAGCTGAAATGCGGTGATTGCAAATGCATCAAGGAAGGAGATCTCCTGCTATGGCCATACTATGGCGATAAGATTGACGGGCCACCCACTGCCACCATACTCGAAAAACTGATTGATTGATTGATTGAGAGCTCTACCACTTTCACAGACGTTTTGTCATGGTACCACCATCAACCATATCATTGTATGATTGTAGTATGACGCCCGGAAAGTGTGGCTGTCTCTTATACACATCTAGATGTGTATAAGAGATACATTATACGAAGTAGGTGGGGGAAAAGGGTGGTGGTTGGGAGGTGGGGTTCAAGTTGCGGTTGGTGGAAAGGCGGGGGGGTCAGAGGAGGTGGAGAAGGGGTAGGGGGGAACGTAGCAGGTTTTCAGGCAGAGGGGGKGGGCGGGGGAGGAGGGGGGGCTGATGGAGACGGCTTTGGGGTTCTCCACGGGGGACTCTGAGGAGTCTCTGGGGGAGGGGAGGGTCTTGGTCTTTCAGGGCCTGGGGGAGGTATTGCGCCTGGTGCCGGGTTCGGGTCGCGTTGGGGAGGTGGAGTGGGAGCCAGATGCTCTGGGGGTAACTTTGGACCTGTGGGAGGTCGCGGGGTACTTGGATTCAGGACCACAGGTCCCACAGGTGGTTGAACCTCTGGAACGGCCCCAGGGTGTCCAGGCACCTCCTTGGGTGGCATACTGGGCGAGAGCTCCGGTGGGATATTGGGAGGCTGAACCACTTGCCAAATCTCAAACGGACCAAGGACGGAAGCCGCGGCAGCAACAGCGACAGAAGCAGCTGTCCAAGAGACTACAGACAGAGAAGCCGCACAAGGATGATCGCCAGGACAACAACAGTGACAAGGACAAGGACAACAATGACGACGAGATGAAGACCAGCGAATCGGATCTGGTTCTGGCTTCAATACACAGGCGCAGGGAATCCGATCCATGGCTGCAATGAGGACAGACCCATAACTGGACAAGATCCACTCCAGCCACCCTCGTCCTGCTGGTTGTCCAACTCCAGCAGTTGGAACTGGTACCACCGTGAGCTCCCCATAACACGTCCACCTCCTTCGTGCAAGCACAAGCAGCACGATATCGGCCGCAGCAGAGTTTTCCCTTGCCGACACGTTGAATGTCCTCCTTGCAATATGGTGGTTGTACCCACAGCACCACTTGTAGCACTCCGTTCCCTTTGCACTCCTCCTCTGCCGGATGCCTTATAATCCGAGACCAGACCGGGTCCCTCAAAACAAGAAAGCAAACCTGGATTTGCATTGGGGGCTTGAGTGCGGTGGTATGCACGGTGGTTCAACGCCTTTGACCGTAAGACCTGCCGACCGATATCCACATCGCCACTGACCCTGTTGTTTCCGCAATTCCCAGCAAGCTGTAGCAGAGCGGATGAGAAATCATTTCGTCCTTTCCCTGCCTCCCGTAAGCGCAGCCCTGCACTCCCACCGTTTCTAACCAATTGTGGCAGCGCCGGCCCCGACCGTGACCGCTGCGGCGAGGTGCGGCATTGGGCCTTTATCCTCCCCCACCTGTCTTCTCCGTTCCCGAAATAGTCAAATTCAACCACCTCCGTAGCGGAAGCCGGGAAGCCACCAACAGGTCCACTGGGGACAMGCAACTTCGCTGCAGACGTAATACCGGCACTACCGCCGTCGACAGCAGCCCTTTGCCCGACGACTCCACGAGGCAAAGCGACAGCCAAAGCAACAGCTTTAACTGATAGAGTAGCCATGATACCCAATGATCACACACAAAACAATAATGTCTGCCGTACGCCCTTAGGGACACAGAATTGTACGTATATATACATAAACAGGCAGACAGACCGCTGCTGAAAACACTCGGAACACTGGCAGCTTGCTTGCAGCCAATCACAGAATGAACAGGCAGTGAAAGGCTGGCTGCTCATACAGTACAAGGGGTAGTCAACACCGATGCTTCATTCTCCCCAAGACTACTGTCTTCCCCCGAATAGAATGTGAAGTCATTATCGCTCCATCTACTAGACTGAAACTGCTCTAAGAACAGCTATCATCACCGTACGTTCAATTTTGGAGACGACAGTAGGTGGGATTCAACTTCACACACTCGTCACCTCCACTACTCTGAAGTATTCACACACTCCCTCTCCTCTTGCAAGTTCAAGAATCGAAGAGACCCCGTGTGATACTGAAAGACGAAATAAACTCCCTCTCCTTCACTGATGTTTACCTGTTACACAAGCCACAAACCAACCAATCAACAGGTGTGCACCATAATTGTTTCCCCCCCCCCCCCCCCCTTCAATCACTTAGTAGTAAATCAGTACAGAAAGAAGCATTGCTGAGTCACTGTTTGACAATACCACTGCCCCACCGGGCCCACCCACAATAGAGAGAGCGGGGGGAGGCACCGGGGCCGGAGGGGTACGCATTCCAACAGAATCGGTAGCCCACCAACAAAAAAAAGAGAGAGGGAAACGAAGAACAGTTTATATGACGTAAGAATCTCAAATTTACACTTGATTTAAAAAAAAAACACCATAATTTTAATTTATTTATAAATCATAAAATATTCGTAATTACAAATTTCAATTTGTTTATTCTTTATTGCATTTGATTGACTATATCTATGTAGCTGTAATTGAGTCTATGAAAGTCTCAGCTCAACACAGTTGAATACATGAAAACAAACGGAAAAAAAGCCCTCACTTGAAATTTCATGGCATGGACTGGAGGAGGGAAATAAAAATTGCCTGGCTCTTGTGCCCGGTCCTCACATGCACATCACATTAGTAGCTATCGGCATCTCCGCGGGGAAAGGGAGGAAGGGTCTGGATTCTGGACGGCTATGCTAACATCGATCTGCACCGCACACAATTGCACTGGCCCACTTGGAGCCAGACAATTACCTCCGAATACACTGTCGCACACATACACACACACACACACACGCAGACAAGAGTTCTTTATCACTCAGTTCCCCCGTCCAAATCAAACAAGTCAGTCAAAGATGTGCATTCCTTCAGGCGGCTGACCAAGGACTGCTGTCTTATATGCTATTCCTTCTAGCCTTCTAGGTGTGTCAAAGACTGGGACATTCCTGTTCCTGCAACAGAGGTGGGCATTTTTTTCTTTTCCACCCCCATAACCCACCCCGCCCAATCTGTTTTTTGTACCACCCACTTGACCCCAGAATTTCAATTTCCACCTCAAGACGACCCCACCCACCCAAAATATGTTTTGAAATTTCAGCCCCGCACCCGGCCCACCTGCCACCCGAAAAAAGTCCTCACCCGCCCCCACCGGCACCCTTGAGAACATCATTACCCCTCTGCACCCAAGACCTTAATTATTGTTGCCGCCCGCACCCACCTGTGCGGATGTGGCCCTGCCCACAACCACTCCACCGATGTTGCCACTTCTCTACCTTGCCGCCCCCCACCAACGTCACTCCATCATGGCATCGTGCGGCGGTAAGGCCAGGTAAGTTGGGGGCGGGCTTCCGAATTTGCCAAGTTCGCTAACCGAGGCTGAAGTTCAAAGGGGACGGATCTAGCCGCCTACTTTAACCCTTTCAGGTGGTCCTGGGTCTATGGGTTGGGTGACCCAGGCCAATGCTTCACCCACCTGTCACCCACACGACCAGTGACCCAGAGCAAATGTTGACCCGCCCGTGACCCAGAAATGGCCACTAGCTGCACATGCCCGTCACCCACCCAAGAAGGCATGGGTAGACCCACACCCAAGCCTGTGTAACATGCACATTCAATGAACGCGTCTGAACGGGCAGAACGCGTTTGGGATTGGCCCAGGCGTGGTTTGAAACGCCGTGGGGGTGGGAAGTCAACACGGGGGGGGCTGGGTGGCGGGAAGGGGCATGGGAACCCCCCACATCCTCGGTAAAAAAAA